GCTGGAAACATATCCTGTACCCCATGCCACTGCCCGAAATACTATCCTGGGCCTTGAAAAGCAAGTCCTGTGGTGACACGGCACCCCAGAAAGGATTGAATCAGACAATGGGGCTCATTTCTGAAACAGCCTCATAGACACTTGGGCCGAAGAGCACGGCACTGAGTGGGTGTATCACATCCCCTATCATGCACCTGCCTCTGGGAAGGTCGAACGGTGCGATGGACTGTTAAAGACCACCCTGAGAGCAATGGGGGGTGGGACTCACACATGGGGGCACACATTTAGCAAAAGCCACGTGGTTAGTCAACACCAGAGGATCTGTCAGTCGTGCTGTCCCTGCCCAATCAACACTTTTACATACTGTAGAAGTATTATTTTAATTACTCATTATTAATAGTATTGTTAGTGTTAGTATTATTATATTTTTCAGCAATAATTAAATAGTTCTTATTTCAACTTTATGAGCTTCCTTGTCTTTTCCTCTGACTCTTCTCCACTGTGGGATGGGGGGACGTAAGCAGGTGGCTGAGTGGTACATTATTGCTAAATAAGGTTAAACCATGCCAATCATGTACTCACACCTTCGTAGTTCATGAAGCAGATTATGACGTGGTTGCTTTCAGCAGTATGGAAGTGGATTTGGTGACCCTCATGTCCTTCCAATCTCTAAGTAAACTTTTTCTCTTTTACTGCAGCCCAGAAGATGGTGAAATTCATCCTGAAATCTGTAGACTATACATCCAGTTGCAGTGTTGCTTAGAAATGTACACAACAGAAATGCTCAAGTCCATATGTCTGCTAGGATCGCTGCAGTTTCATCGGAAAGGTATTGAATTGCATGAATGTACTGGTGCTGATTTTAAAAAAAGAAGAGTCTTGGGGCATGCATGGATATTCGGAAAGACAAATCACCGAACTGTAAAATGGACTATACCAGTAAAGCTTTTCAGATACTGGGGGAAAATAAAAAAAGCTGTGTCTATTTCATTAGCATCATTTTATGGAAGTGTAAATGTCCTAATGTCCTTGCAGTTTAGCACTCTGAAATTTTTTTTTATTTTTTCAAAAGGTTTTAGCTGTCATTAGTGAGAGTAGTGAGCAAACTTAGTCATTTTATTAGAGGTATTTGTTGGGTATGATATTTGAGAGCAAGTGTTTGGTGGAGCAGTATGACATGGTTTCAGTATTAAACTGATCCCTTACTATTCCTGTTATTTATCCAAGAATGCCAGCTTCTAATAAAAGATGGATAAATACTGTTAAAAAGCTGCCCATCTTTATAAAAACTAGATACTAGATTCAGAATGGAAATGTGCCTCTTAGAATATTTTTACACACAAAGGAGATATCCCTGCTTCAGTGAAAATGCATCTCTAATGATTTCAGATTTGATTAGCCACCTACGGAAAGGAAGATGTAGAAATGCAGATAATTCACTGAATAGGTTACTTAGTAACCTCATTATTCAATGATGGCACACACTGATTGGGACTGTATATGTGCTATTCCCCAGATAATATCTCAGCAGACTACACTAGATAAAGACAAGAGAAAGTTCTGTAATGAACTGTAATGAAGGTGTCATACTAAACCTTATGTAGAATGAGGTGCGGACTGTTGTCGGCAGCCTGCAGCTAATAAATAATAATGTGGGTATTGGTATCTTGAACGGACGTTGTCAAACGAACTGTAGAACTGATAAAGTTAAGGCAGTGCTGATGCTTGTTTCTCACAAGAAACTCCGCCAGTGCTTCCTACTGGGAAACAGATGCTTTTTAGTAAAACCCCACACTACAGTTTGAAGGGCTTAGCTCTGGGTATTGGCACTGTCTTTTGCAGCACCCATCTTCTCCCTCTCCTTACCTTTCTGTTCTACTGAACAAACATTCCTAAATATGCCATATAGTATCTATCAAGCTTCCTGCAAATTTCTTGCATATTTACAGTGCTTTAGATTAACTTACTGCTGTCATAGTACCTCCATCAGAAAAGTCAGATAGTCTGTTACTTCTTTGGGATATAACAGTCACTGTGGGGCCAAAAGCCATAAATGTTTCCAGCTGTCTTATGCAGTAAGAAAACTGAGGTAAGTCTCTCTAATAATCTTTTTTTCCAAGATGCATACACCACAAAAGCACAGTGTTGAACATACATTATGACTGCAAAGTTCAGCATTCAGAAAGCTTGCAAAGGACACAGTGAAACAGCCCTAATTCGAGCTCTTTGTAGTTACCGAGTCTTTGTCTACCTGATATTTTACTACTTCTCCTTTCCACAGTCTCAGGAGTCCTGGCTAGCTAATACACATGTAAATACTTACTTTACATTTGTCTTTTATCCTAATTGTGTCATACACTGTATTTATTGCACACAATTCTATTGTTAAAGGCAGAGTCCTTCTGTTCCTCAGACCTTTCCCATTAACTCATACACTCATAGGACTGTCTCAGAACCACCTTCAGTAGTGAGGTAGTAGCAATTTTCCCATGGTAAAGAAGGAAAAAAGAGAGATTAAGATGAAGATAAAGATTGCTAATTTAGAATCTGAGATTGCAGCCTACTTTATGCAGTGCTGTGTACTTCTAGAGTAATTTTTCAGTAGCTTCATTTGCAGCTGAGTGCAAAGAATCTCTGGGTTGAGCAACCAGACAATTAGAACTACTTTGTCAATAGCTGTTTTGAGGAGCTGGGTTTAAGCAGCTTGGATAGGATCACATTAAAACTTTGGGTAGAAAGAGAGTGCAGTTTTCAGGGCAGGACCATGAGAAACTCTCCTGTGTCTTCCTGCAGTCCCTAGCAGGATGGCTTTAAGGATATTGCTCTCCATTTTGTCAGAGCAAATACCTATTAGGGGTGATTAGCAAATGCTTACTGGGGCAGATGTGGCAGATGGCAGCTCATGTTGCAGCTCTTCCAAGAAATCTTCTGAAAATTCTCACTGCATTTGTTCATCTAGTTTTCTTCTACATCATTATCACACTGCAGAACTTATCTAGATAGAATCTCTCAGACTGTGTAAAGCAAGAGATGAGTTAACTTGCCTAGGATTTGCAGCTTCTTTCCTCATCTTTGTTTTGCTTTGTTCCCCTCCATCATTTGAATTATACAGCTTTGTCAGCAGTGTCAAACACAGTTCTTAAACCTAGTAATACTTTTTAAAATATCAGAGTTTCAGGGAAAGTAAGATATTTTGAAGGAGCTTAGGTACTTCTCCGAAGTGTTTACAAAATTCAGCTCTAATTCCTTTCAAATGTTGCATGTCTATTTTATTGACATTGCATGTTCCCAACAATGACTATTCTTTTGATTAAATAAACAAATCCTGGCTTAGCTAGCAAGGTCTTAGCGGAAGTAGTTGACATAATTTCTGTCCATGAAAGCTGCTGGATGTGATTACCCTTTTCCCAAATTAATACTGAGGTAGTCAAGGTTCTACACCAAGAAAACCGAGAACTACCTCAGAGTTCTTAAGTAGATTTTAGCATACATCGCTGTATTCAGCCACAAATATTTTGGGGTTAAAGGTTTTAATTGATAACTTACAAAGATCTTAATTGCACTTTTAGTATGTGAACATAACAGATAGAAGAGCTTTGCTGATTCATATATCCACAATAGTAATATATTCCTTTCATTGTAAGGAACTATAAAATATTATTATTATCATTGGGTTGCTGCAGCATGTCACTGGAAGTGTGTCTTACTGAAGTTTAATGTCAATACATATTTACACAGAAACATTAATTTTTTAGGGTCATCTACAGATCTAATTGTGTTGTTTGGTTACATAATTACATATATTAGAAAACATTTTTTAAAATCCTGAATTGCAGATTACAATCATTCTACTGGCCAGCTATGCAGCATTTTAGAAAGGCACTTATTTTAATAATTAGGGGAGTAAACTCATGTAACAAATCAAAGGCAAGAGGGGACACTTAAAATTAACTGGAAATGTTTTCCTGAGTTCAAAACATGCTGTAAAAATAGTTACAGCTGCCTTGTCAAAGAAGTATAAGGTTTGAAACTTGTAGCCATTTATGCTGAGTTTGAACAAAAGTCACTTCTTATGTATATTCATAAGAATACATTATTCTTATGGTCCAGACTAAGTACAACCTGGTTTTTTTTTGTAACATGTTGAAAAAGAAGCATGCACAGATGGAGGCGTAATTCCAGCTGTTAGTTATTTACACGTAGCTCTAGTAATTTTAGTAGAATTTAAATATCTATGGGAAGAAATGAGTCCAGGACACATTAGATTACCAGAATCTTGCAGTTTCTTGTATGAAATGGTCTCAAAGTCTTATTTTTTCCTGTATTGTAAGAGTTTAATACATAAATAATTTCTCAGAATAAGATGCAAATTATTTTAATGCTTATAATCTACATATTGTTTATTATTACCACAAGCCTATTTGGAAGCATTGAAGAAAAAAATTGCAATTCAGTCACTGCAACTGAGATCTATGGGCCCCAATCTGACTTGTATAAACATAGCTGAGGGCAGAAGGATACTAGCACTAACCAGAGTGGTAGGTACCTGAATACTTAGGTGAAAAGGGGAAGAATTGAGTTCTACGGGAAAATCCTATGTGGGTACTATGGACAGAAAAAATCAGGCTTTTCTGATGTAAATTCAGACTGAACTCATTCCTGTATTGCTGGTACATCAGAATGATACCAAATCACAGATGACTGTGTATTGTGTACCCTACAAAAAGTGGGAAACATAATCGTAATTTTCCAAGTGTGTTTTTGGATAACAACATACATTTCCTTAAAAGAGTACCTAAAACCTGTGATAGCTTATATTACATATTACAAAAATAAACCCTCATTTCAGTGAAGGGATTTTTGTTTTATTTGGCTATGTTTAAATTACATGTGGTTTGGAGTTTTGAAGGAGAAGGAAAGGATTGTTTTACAGATGTGCTACAATCTCAGAGTTCTGTTTGAAGACTGGTAGATGTGTGTAATTACCTAGTCATATTACTTACACAACGGGGATAAGATGTGAGAGATGAGAAGCACACAGGTGTGGAGAAGCAAGCACTTAAAAAATCCACAGGATCGCCCATTCTCATACGTACACTGTGACGAGGCCAAAACATATAAAACAGAAATAGGCATGGAAGGAGGAAATCACAACTTCTAGCACAGACTTCTTGTTCCTATTGCATTTTTCCTTAGTAATATTTCCAGGGAGACAATCTTGTGAGTTCTGCGGTTTCCAAGTATAACTTAGGAATGAAGTTCATTAGGCTGTTATCCATAGGTGCCACATTCTTTTTTACTTCCTATGCTATTCTTTCCTAGTTGCCTTTTGATTTTCTCGTTTTCATTTACTTTAGCTGTGATCTATAGCTTGTGCATTTATCCTTAATTGCCAGGTTAAAAGCCTGATGCAAATGCTGCCGGCTTTTTGAGAGAGGGGTTCTCTCACCTTTGCTGAATTCTGTTATTCCCATCTAAGATCTTTCCAATTCATCTGCAGTGAAATCTAACTACTTCTGAAGGACCTAGAGTAGATGATTTTTTTCATTATATAAGTTTCGCTGTGAAGCAGGTGATGACTAAGGGTGGGTGCATGGGGTAGCATGACAGAAACAAACACAGAGGTCACCAGAGAAGCAGTACGGAGCACAACAGCTGAGACACATAAAGCACAGTGATCACATATGTTGTATGTAGCCTTACTGAACTGACCATTTTCTGTCCTCTTATTTATACTCGTTTGATCTTCAGCATTATTTAATTCAATGAATTTAGTTTCATATTAAAGGCATTTTCTGCTTCTTAGAAAAAAAAATAATGCTGAATTAGAGGCTAGAAGACAAAGAATAAATCACACTTTATATTAAAATTTCACAGCACATACAGCCGCTGTCTAGTCAGCTGGCAAGAACAGCAAGTGTATGTGGACACCTCTGCCAACACTGTGTGCATGATCAAACTCCAACTGAAATTAATGTCTTTGCTGACTAAATTGAAAGGAAAATTTAGGGTTCATATCCTTATTTTAAGAATGTGTAATACAAAAGATATCCTTACCACCAGCAGAAGGATGAGAAGATTAAAGGGCTTTTTTTTCTCTACAGGCTGTGCCATGTAGTAAAAATGTTAAGCCTGAGTCATACACATTATTCAAGCAAAGCCTTTATTATTAGCTGGCTCTGACTGTTTTCAAGTGATTGAGCAGATGCTCTGAAATTCAAGAAAGGCCTCATGAATTGTTCACAATACAACAGAATTACTGGTAAAGAGCTTTTTTCAGTTAAAAAGAAATCTGTGCCGTTCATTCTGCTAAATCTGCAAGAGCTTGCCTTTGTGCTAACAAAAAGAACATTACAGTCGCCCTGCTTCTATTCTCAAGTTGTGAAAAAGAACCCTTTTTTGCTACTTCATCATTGTTATTGTTTCCGTTGAAACACCTTTCACATCCCTGAAGGATGAACCCATAGGCAGGGTTGTTTTTGACAGCATGTCACCAGAGGACAGGTCAGAATCCCAAGATAACACTTCAAAATAATTGGAAAATTAGCTAATACCCAGCTCCAGCAGTAACACCTTGCGATGTCAGTCACCAACTAGATGGTTTCCCTGGGGCAACTGTCTTTTACAAAGAAGTGGTGAGATAGTGGTAACAGTATGTTGTGTTATTATGGGCTTCTTGTAATGGGAGAAATAACAAATAATGAAGCTTACACAAATGAACATTTAAAATTGAACAATATGAGCTACTTTAAAATAACAGCATAAGCTGCAGTTAAGAACTAGAAATATTTGAAAGTTATGCCTACAGGGTGATACAGAGTAAAACATACAATGGGGGAATGGGGCTTAAGCTGCTCTTCCACAAGCAATTGATTCAGCATAATACCTTCTTGCCACCAGAAAGAACTTGATCCCTTCATCTCTATCTTCCCTCCCTTGTGCCTTCACTTCTTCCTCCCTTCCACTGCTTCTGGACATATGATCATCAACCTCCTCTGGCACTTGCTTTGGAACATGTAGGGTTCTTTACTGACCAGTCTTAAATCACTGCAACATCAGAAAACCTCACAGTTTATTTTTCCTTTTATTGGGGTAATCTTCTACTATTTGATGGGTTAAAGTAGCTCACAGAGGGATCTGGCAAAGCACAAGTTAGCAGCGGATGCCTGAGTAAGCAGCAGAGAATGGACACAGGACACAATTTTTTTTATAGTATAAACTTATAATGTCAGGTCATGCAATCTCTTGGAATTATAGTTAGATGACTTAGTTGGGGGGGATGCAGGGAAAAGGGCTTCCTACTGAATTTAGAGAGTAATGAAAACTTTAGGCAAATATCTTCTGTAGTGTAAGCACTGTCTTGTTTGACATGCAGGCAAGTAGCTAATCATATATTTTTTTTCCACCAAAGGAATAATTTACAACAGTTTAGAGAACCTGCCCAAAAAAGAGTTTAAGATCCAGGAATTCCTAGCTTTAAGAAAAACAAGTTACAACCCTGATAGCAGGGATACTTACTGTTGAGGTGGAAGAGTATTATAGCATGGTCTTCAGCCTATCTAGTGTCCCAGAAATATGGGCTAAATGACCACTACTCTGTTAGCTGTTCTAGTTCTTTCTGTTCTTTATCAAACCTTATAGGAACTACTCAGGTTTATCCTGATGTGAAAATTTTCAAACAGCAAAAATTGAGACATGAGAAAACTTTTCCTATTCAACTCCTCATACCACTGGTTTAAACATTGTCCTTTTTTAACCTATTTTCACAAAAACTTATTTATTTCTTTGTGAGATTGTTGACTTCATTTCATGAGAAAACTCAGAGGGGTAAAAACTTTAACTTATCAATAATGTGTCTGGAATACTCCAGTTTGAATTTTCTTATTTAAATATACTTGGTGCCAGGGCTGTACTTGCCACTACAGGAAAGGAATACCACAGGAGGTTTGCAAGGGTGTAAAAAAATCCCACCAGTATTTAACTCGTTTGCGTGCTCCACTATCATGGTCCACATCCTTTAGCCCATTCTTTCCCTGAAAAAAGCCCTGGTAGATCTGTCATGAAGCCCCCATTACATTCAAACACTGCCTTTCATTTTCATACAGTGAACATGAATTAGGCAAGTGTAAGCGTGGAAATTCAGAGTATAATGGGTATTGGGCTGCGAGTGGTGGCAGCTGTGTATTGCTTTTAAAATCACCAAGTACAAAACTGCACATTTTTGTCTCTTGTTTTCCCTTAGTATTCCTTTAATACTAGGAGACATGGTTTGCAGTGTTCTTTAGTATCAAAGTTTTTGGAGTTGCTTTCGTAATGTATGTTGTAGTTTCCTTATTTACTTTGTTCTGGTTTGTCCTCTGGCTCTTCTCTTGTGTCACATATGATCCACTGGACTTTAACTGAAACCCTTCATAATACTATATGAAATTCTGCTCTTCACACATGCCTCCATGGGACTCCTCTTAGTTTTGTTCAGTAGGAATGGCATATAGCAGCACTCTGATTAGTAGATTGGTGTGATCTGCTCTGTTTCTGAACAGTTCTTACGCAGAGTTTGCATTCACCACTGTCTTTATTTGTACTGTGCAAAATCAAGGACAAACATCAGTGATATAATCTGAGTATGTATTTTAATTAATAACAGGGATATAGATACATATTTTAATATTTTAAAGGAAAAGAACCTTGCGCCCCACCCAAGATCCTAGATACTAAAGTGGAGGAGACTTCCGAAGTACCTATTTTAGAAGACACATCATCATCACCAACAGATATTCAACAGCATTTATGGCAGGTTTCCACAGATATTGAAAACACTGAAAGGTATGTGTAGCACTTCATTTCTAAACAAAACAAATTTCAGTCTGGGGTTTATTTAGCCTATTCCAGTTAGGCAGCCGGTGTTGCTACTATTAAAGGTATTCGTAAATGAAATAGCCTGTTAACATTTCTGTTATATTTAACGTATCTGAGGCCAACTCCTAAAAGAAGGGCAAAGAGATGTGACATCCTTAGTTAGTCTAATTAACATTATCATTTGTCAAAAAACAGAGAGTGGGAAGTGATGTTGCTAGAGACAGCTTTTGTCTCATCCTGAATGGTTTCTGATTTTATATCTGAAGTCTGCTGGCCGGCAGCTCTGCATTCATAAACCGAAAGCACAAAATCTTGTTCAGTTGTTTCTGCCCATTGTTGTGAATGTGGAAGCCTTAGGAGAGGGAACATCATCCACAGGTCTGTCAATGCAGACTTCTCTTACCCTCTTAACTATGCAGTTGAAAGACAAATATTAGAACCTTTTCTAGGGAGTAATCCTTATGGCCAACATTTCCTTGCAAAATAAAACCCTGTTTTGATGGCTCTGTATATTAATCTGCTACTGAGATTTTAATGGTTACCTTGCTTATTTATATAAAATGAGGTTCTCTTCTTCTGAGAGAGTAACTTGAAGAATATAACTGAGCAATTTCTTATTAGTCATGCTGCTTAATTTCTAAGAACTATTTTGTATGTAGATGAATGAGGCAAGACCACAACTGTTATTAAATCCTGAAAGCCTTAAGACGTGACAAGCCTGCACACAAAATTGCTGGTCTGCCATCTATCTATAAAACAGGAACCTCTTTGCAACTTCTGGCCACTCTCAAAACATATTCAAATGTAACTTTCTTTTTGAGATGATACATTGATAATCATGATTGCCATTTTCTGCCTTTTAGAAAATTTTGTGCCAGAATCCTCCTAAGAGGGGTGAGAGTGACAAACCTGTTCCTAAATTTCTCACTTAATGTGCTGGGAGTTTAGGTATCATGAATTAGCTACATGTATTGTAATTTCCTTCTGAGCAATGAAATACATTCATGGCACAGACTACACAATTGTGATAAGAGGTATTGAGTTGATGTTAGTACTAGCTTGGGCTAATTTTAAGACATATTGTTTATTTTGCCACTACCATCACATTGTGCCCACCACCTCATTTAATATGGAATATTCTAGTGCCAGAATAGATCATGGATTTGGACCAGATGTGGCTAGTTAATACCAGACTGGCTAAAAGTGCTCCCATGTTGATTCCACTGCCCTTTATTTTGGTATGCATCTACTGATACATGTATGTGAACCAAATGCTTGCCCAATAGATTTTTGTATTCATTGCTCCATTATTTCAGCATATAAAGCTATACTGTGACCCATTCTCCATTCACTCTTCAATTGCTGTTCTATGGTATCTCTTTCAACTTTTGCTTCCACAGAGATATGAGAGAAATGAAAAACCTTTTAAGTAAACTCAGGGAGACTATGCCTTTACCACTGAAAAATCAAGGTAGGTTTTGTATTTTTTTTTTTGTAAGGAAAATTAAGATAATTCAAGGTTTTGCCTTTCATTAGATCAAAGAAATCTAGAGGGTTTTTAATAAAAGTTACAAAAAGTGAAATATAGGTGAAGTCTCTTCCCTACTGATTAAGTGGAGACAGAATTTAGCGTGTGAACTTTGTCCTCTTGAGTTTCTCATGAGGTAATCTGAAATTTTATTTTATGGTATCTATAGATAAAATAATAGACCTTTCCTGGTGACATAAAGGCAGCCCCACAACTAATTCCCTGTGTCAGAAAGATTTCTTTTTCAAAGGTAATGAAGGTCAAAAATGCGCAGACTATGAGAGGGATCCTACTGAGGGGTGGCATTTGCTTTACCCCTGCAAGGCTTGTAGCTTCTGTGACATGACACTGACCGTATGCAGAGAAGATACGTACCTTGAGTCTGCTAACAGCCTGCTTTTCCCAGTAGCCAGCTATAATGCACCCTATATAAATGCATGGGAGCACTGGATCTCCACCCTATGCACGTTTAGCAACGAGGCTTCATTTTGTGGCCCAGCAGTGTTAAACATTCCACATCTACAGGGACTCTTCATGTGACCAACATTAAAAGGACAATAGTTTTCTTTTTTTATTTCTTCTTGATAATGTGTATTTCTTAAACGCTGTGTAGTCCTTGCACAGTGGCAGCTGATGAAGTATGCCTAGTGTGTCCTAGAGCTTGTCCTAAGTAACTAAGCAGTCTAACATTCATTGTCATATGGTAAGGGATGAATATAGAATGGATGAATTCATTATACAGGTAGGAGTTTACAGCAGGATGGCTTGATGGAAAACGATGTGAAAGGAGAAGGGGAATTGCTTATGATACAGGACACAGATGTGCCATTGGAGAGACTGGAAAAATGCCATAAAGTCTATGTATAACCTAGGAGAATGGAGCGTGGTGGAAATAAAGAAGACAGATTTGGGGGATATAAGGTATATAGAAACTTGAATTCAGAACAGAGATAAAGGTGTACAGAATTCTCTGCTGTCTGATGTCTACACTGACCTCCAACACTGGCCAGAAAATCACTGATCACCTGTGCAGCAGGGTGAGAAACGTGCCAGCTAGAGTTTGAAAGCTCTGAGACATGCGGCAGGATCAGGTGATCATAAAACGATGGTTTTGCAGCTCCCACAAGTGATCATCATTTACAGATGACCTCTGAGAATGGATGCCTCAGGAATGGACAGTCATGCTCCATGCTCATTATTCTCACAAGCCTTAAATTTTTTTAAATATTCCAAGGCCTTTAAATAACTAAAGCTAGGTAACAGTATAAGTAAGGTGAATGAACAAACAACATTACAGGTAATTAATATGTCCTGGACTGTAAGTTTGACATGCATATGAATTATAAGTACTGAGTGTGATTATGAGATGAATGAATGCTATTGAATGAATTAATCTTTACAAGACACGATTCTGCTTCCAGTAAATGAGTGTTTTTCTGTTGATTTCATTGACAGCCAGAACCAGAACAGAGTTAAAGTTGCAAGCCCACAAAAGCTTTACATAGTGTTTCTGACTGCTCACAGACCATTTTTTTTCTTTATGGAATTCTCTTAAGTGGCAGCAGAAAAGTTACTATGCTCAGAAATTTGGTTGGTGTGGTTCATTAGCTTGAGTCACACTATTAAATCATCTCTTACCTATGTTCTTGTGGTTAAGGATTTGTATTGAAGAAGAGGCTAGAGCCTACAATCAAAACTAGGTCCCTGATGCAACCGGAATAGGAGCATAATGAGGCGTAGCTCTTAGCCTGAAACTGTGCCTGAAGATGGCTGAAATTCAAAATGTCTTCTTAAGATTTTACGAGATACCTCGCTGACAGTGCATGAGTTAAGTATAGGTACTAGCATATAGATTTTGTATAGTATAAAAGGTAGAAAACTAAACAGGGTGAGGATATTACGCTAACTTTCCCAGATGAGTGCTTTTTCTCTTCATGTGCCACGATGTATCAGTGTGCAGTTCTAAAAGGAGATTCTCCCTGATGTGCACAAACAGCCACCAAACATTTCTTTACATTTAAATTAAGCAGAATTTAATATTAGGATCAACATTTCCAAACTTGCGTGTCTGCAAGATCTCAAGCTACTGAGCTTTCGATTTTGCTTGGGACCCTAACATCATTCATCCATGCAGGAATATTGTGTTTTAGGTCTCCCAGGACTGGAAGTATAATTATAATTCCCATAATTGAACTGGTATTCTTCTTGCCAAAATTTCTATTGCATAATTGTGGAGATACTGATAATTAGCTGTGTAAGACTCTTAGATAAAAAAGCAGGTTTTTATTTGCTCTGTGCCTAGAACAATGGAATCTGTTACTTTATCATGTAAGTCTGTTAGGACGCATAAATGATATAAACTCTTTTGTTTGTGTGCTTGTGTACATGCTTGTATTAAAATGTGGGTCTTTTTTTCATCACAGATGATAGCAGCCTCCTAAACTTGACTCCGTATCCATTGGTAAGAAGACGGAAGCGAAGATTTTTTGGACTGTGTTGTCTTGTCTCAAGTTAGAAGATTAAGTATAGAAGCACCAAGAAAATCATTATTATTTGACCACGGAAAAGATGAACATTGCTACATGTGATTCTTAAGTACATTTTCTACATTAGCCTATTCTTTTTCTCTTCTGCTCCATCTCCCTTTCCAAAATAAGGGTTTTAATAGTTTACAGTTACGGTGGTCAAAACCCAGATGTGGAATAGGTCTAGCATAACTAAGAATGTTTTTACAACTTTTTAAAGTATGTTTTGCATGCTTACTTTCAACTACTCAGAGAAAAGACACATGAATTATGGTTAATAGGTAATTTTAAGGGTTTTTTTTATTGTTTGAACTGCAGCTAGAAGTTTGTGCATAGTACAGTACTCTTAGTAGTATCATATTAAAATACTTGATCATATTCTAAGTCTTTAAGCATAGAAAACTATTTAACAGCAAAAGTATTAAATTTCTAAAACATGTAAACAATATTGTAATAGAATTTGCACAAAATCTCCAGTTGCTTTCTGTGCTCTCATTCACTTATAGTCTTCCACTATATCTCAATTTAAAAGCTTCACAGAAAAATACCTTAATTTATGATACACAAACCATATATGAAAACACTTAGAACTTGTAAATACAGAGAAGTCATAATATCTACATACTGTACAATGCATAGAAGTGACAGATTTCCCTTTAAGCTGATAGTATCACTACAAGCTTTTGGAAAAAATAAATAATTTATTAAATCAAGTTGTATTAAAATAACTAGTGTCAAACACAAAACCAACCCATTTTGTTGCCAATAGAATTCAGAGCATGGTGTCTGCATATCACTAAGTACTGACTCTTGTAGGGCATGCCAGAATTATCTCAGATTGTAAGATACTACACGTTTTACATTGTTAATAAAGTTTTTTTATTTAAATTAACTGTTGTCCTGTTTCTAGTTATATTGCTGAAATGTAGGGGGGTTTTTTCTAGCTTTGTTTCCAGGGTACTACACAAAGTTTTGATAATTTTTTCATTTCAAGAAGTATGTTCACAAAGACAGATAAAAAACCATGATGAGTGTATAAATGCTAACAGGACAGCTAGTAGCAGCAATAGATATGAATGGGACTCATGGTACTGATGTTTCACAATGCTAGTCAAGACACCACAACTAAACCTGTGCTAGACTGCAGCGGTGTGAAACCCGTAACGATCTGTAACCGCCGTATAGAGCAGGTCACCACACCCTTGTATTCAGCCGTACATGAGGAAGGTGACTGTGAGCCTTTCTGCCCGTCCACCATGGCCCCCTGTCTCGGCAGGGACCCAATTCCTTCTTCCCATGTAAGGGTTTAGTGGTGGGTAGGGAGCTGTTGTTTCCTGGTCACGGGAAACACCCCTACAGTTAAATCCTCCGTGGTTTTTTGGTACAATATTAGTACACTCCCCAGAGCAGTTTATTCGGGATAGCTGTTCACTGAAATACATCTGGCACCTACAAAGTTTGAGCTGATTGCTTTTTCTACCAAGTTTTTCTCCTGGAATGCTGTTTGCTGGAAAAGGAAGGAAACAGTCACTTTGTTACAAATATTACTGTACTGTCTATAGCAAGGACCAAAAATTCAGATCTAATCCCCAAGAAGGGGAAAGTTGGAATTTTTCTTCATGAAGAGCCAACACCACTCCTGTTTTAGGCATTCATGTAGCTGGGCTTTCAGCATTTATCTGGAAGGATACTTTTCTTTTGACTCAGATAAAGCAGAGTGTTTTTTTCCAGGTTGGAGTGATCTGTTCACTTTTCACCTTTCAGTCTCCCAGACAAAAAGTATATTTTTGAAAAATGAGGTCCCCAAATAAATACTTTAAATGCAATGAGGACAAATAAATCTAAAATGCTGTCATAGAAATAGTGTGTTTCCATAACAAAATTAATTCCATCTGAGGACTGCATGACAGAATTCTTTAAATAGCAGAGAAAAAATGTAACTGCAATGTGTTTTAAGATTTCAGGTCACAAACTATTCTCAGTGTACACGGCATTTAATGCAAAGAGGTCCCTAAACCCTCACAAAGCTGTGTGCTTGTGAGCATGAATGCATTTTTGAGAAGAATGGAATCAAAATCCACATTTTTTCACAGTTAATTATTTAACGTTTTCCCCACGTCCCTCATGAGCAATGTCCTGATTAATGAGATCCTAGTTTTCCATAATAAGTAATTAAAGAATGTCCAAAAGGTGGCAGCACTGACATGTTTTCACGAAAAGTATATAAACCAACACACCTGTTCTGTGTCTCCATCCCCAGAGATACAACAGGATTTTGCAACTGTCAAAACTTCAGAAAAAGAACAATTCGTGTCTAGTGGCTATTAAAAAATATTGCCTGGGGAAATCATCTGTAATTACAATTAGCCAACTAATTTTGGTTCAGCATAAATTGACAGACTGTTATCATTTAATCCTGTAGACAAAAAGCAGTGCATGAACACGAAACTGAATATACAGCAATCCTATGAGAGAGAAAGGGAGAAACAAAATTTCACACACACAAACTGTGTTAATTCTTTTAAAATCTTGTTATATTTGTACACATACAGAAATTGCTGTATTGGGTCAGCGTGATGTCCTTTTTTTAACAACTGCTCTCAATGAAGATTAAGCAGTAACCTTGTCTGGTGCAGTACCTGCCCACGTAAGTTAACAGGCCAAGTTACAAGCTTCTATCTCTGTATTTTCATTGCGTGTATTGCAACAGAATACATATTAATGAGACAAATGTGTACATGTTGATTAATTATGCAAAGCTCTTGACATCAGTCATACCTCAACACAGTGAGCTGCACAACTTTAGCACATTCTGTGATGAAAACAGATTTATTTATGTTGTCTTTAAAGTCCTTTTTGTTTGCAGTGTTTTAAAGCGTACATAAACATGAACAACCTTGTACCTTTTGTAATTCTGGAAACTTCCATGTATCTCCCTGGACTAAAGACTACTAAAATTTCAGCCTTTGCTCATTTTGAAGCCTTTCCATACCACTAACTGATTTTCCAGCTTTTCTCAAACACCTTGTATTTATTACACCTTTTACTAATCCTAATGGGCACGTGCTTTAATTTCCAAGCTTTATGGCCTAAGGAATATTGATGATCAAGGGCAAGTGGAATGTCCTCTATTTTTTAATAGATAGTGGCCACAAAACAAGAACTGGTAAGTATCTGAACTGAAAGGTATTAAGGGACAAGTTGGCTTAGTTAGGAATGCAGAGGATAATCTTTCACTGAAATTCAAAAGGAAACAAAAGAAATGGTTTTTTTAAGCCCCAGAACATCCTGTAGATCCAAGAAGGATAGAGGTTAATGATATTACTACATTTCAGTTTAATGGAATAGGGCAATGTGGGATCAAAGTTTAAAACTTCCCACAACAAAATGATACACAAATCACTTGGAGATCATTTGGAAACATTATTTGTTTATTTTCAAAGTATTACAAAAAAAGAGACAACTTTACACTGACAAATCACTGAATGTGTAGAAACAATTAATATAGGGAAAATAGGAAAATGATACTTGCTTTCTAAATCCTTAATGGTGTGGAAATATTGTAGCTGAAAATGCTATAGGATAAAGACATCACAACTCTTTTGCAGAGCAAGAAACAAGAAGCACAATTTTTATACCCACCAAATACGTAAGTTCCATCAACTCTTTTTTACTAAAATTTTGTGCAGCTACAGCTTTTCAGAGCAAAACAAATTCTTTATAACCACCATTCAGTTGTAACACCTTTTTTCTTTTCACAGATATTTCATGTTATAAAACATACCTGTCTAAAAAGTCAATTATCTATGTGCAGTGTTTTCAGAGCAGAAATAAAAGTATATAGAAGTAGTGCAAGCTGCATGTTCACTTATCCAATATGTAGAAGTTCGTATGCAAAATCTGCATGTTATCTTATGAAATACATAAAAGGTTGTCCATGTGACCTATTAACTCTTCATCCCATAGCAGGCTTACTTGGGATGAGATACAATATAAAGACATTAATTTTTCAATATAAGGTAAATATATACCATAAATTAAAGGAATTTTAAGAATTTGAAGAGCTGTCTAGACTGTGGTAATGCTAGGACTACTATAAGGGATGTTTATTCACAGACCAGTTTTGTTTTCTTTGATGTAGATATGGAGACTCCACAGATGTGACGACAGACATCTGGAATACAGTAAACTGAACAAAAATGAAGATGGGAGAAAAATATTAGAGAACACAACAAGTTTAATCTTTGATACATGGGGTCAGATCTTCTCTTCCATAGAATAGAAACCATTCAGGTGTGATACTCTTTTTTTTTTATCCAGCAGAGATCACATCACAGTTCTGTTACCAAAAAGTAACAAAGAAAACACTCTAAACCAAATGATAGTTTATAAAGCTGACATTGGTTTATTGCAGCGATGGGTGCATGAGGGATTTCTCCTCCTAGCATGCACACCAAACAGTTTTTTGTGCCATACACAAAACTTTTAGGATTATTAATTTTCCAGTCCATCCCCTTTACCATGATTGGTTATACAATTATAATATTGCTGACACATCGCTCCCAGTATTACGCATGCTCAGGGGAAAGGTCTTCACCTGAGCAGGGATCTTCTTGACCTAAGGGTGTGATTTTTAGTATTAGAGGAAGCTTCTAATGAGCGAAGTTCACAAAAAGGGCAAAATACTTGAAACATCCACTAATCTACAAAAACTCTTCTCAACTTACACAGACACTGCTGCGGTACTAATGAGCATGTACCCTCGTGCTGTTGATAAGCAAGGGGCCCATCTCTTTTTATCAGACCTTTCACAGCAATGTGCACAGAGAAAACATGCTGAAAAACAGGGTATCATCAAAACAGGTTAACATCTAGAACATCATTAAAATTAGAACCTTGTCCAAAATAGCTTAATGTAGTGAAAAACAGAAGAATCATAACAATTTCTCTCCTTTGTGGAAGAGAAATATGCAAATAATAAGGAAAGTAGTGCACATTATGAGGAGGTGTGAGGGGTAAAACAATCGGTGAAATACTGTGTTTCAGCAATCACATTGCAGAAGTCTGAGTGACTGCAGAGTTCTATAAAACAAGACAAATGGGAAAAATCTTGTACAATGTCAGAATTTGAACCCATCTTTGGATACCTGAGGTATTTTCATTGCGCTGAGCATTGCCACACTGCTCAGGCACAGCTGAGGGGGCAGTGTGGCACCAGAACAGCAACCACCTGCTCCACCAGCATCCTTATAAAGAGGGACAGTATTCTCTGATCA